GATTCTCTCCTTGGCTCTGCCACAGAGTTCCTTGCAGTGTGTGGCAGGTCATCTAGATCATGCTTTTCACCCTGGTCACAAATTATGTGCTTTTAATTTGTCCATAACTTGAGACTTTGGGGTGATTTGCTGAAGTGTAGAGTGTATATGGCTGCAACTGAAATCAATGGGAGCAGTGCTTTGAATGTGTGCAGTGCTACAGCATAAACTGTCATCTGAAATTAGATCCCCCAAATTACCTAATGCTTTTGGATTTCATTTTCAGTCCTTCAGTTCCCTCTATGTAAAGTGGAATAATACTAGGTCCTCATTCCCAAGGGACACTGTGAAAAGAAATGAGTGTGTTTGTAAAGCATGCATGCTGTAGTGATGAGCACTATATAAGAGACTGTAAAGAAAGTAAAAATTCTCTGTATGTAATGATTAAAACCAGATGCTTTTGTGAGTCATAGAAATCTAAAAAAATCTTTCCATTTATTTCATTTTAGGAAACCTTGGAGCAAACCCCTGTGGATTTTCTTTCCTCGTTTGAAATGTTCAATAGCACATACAAGCTCTACACCCATAGGTGAGGAGTAAGCTGCTGCCATCTCCCTTGGGGAAATCAGTTCTTAAACTCACTGTCTCTTTGTACTGAAATGCTGCCAGGATTCTTCTCACTTTTGGCACTCATGGTTGAGGCTGTTTCTGTTGTTCTGTTCTAGACAGAGTGAACAGCAGCTGCATCATGCCTTGCCATTGACCACTAATGCAGTATTTTAAGAATTAGTTTTTATCCTGTTCCCTTACCTATAGCAGATGCCTCTGGCTGGCCTACCTTTTGTTTTATGCTCCTTTACCCAAACTATTTCACTCCCACCCTCTTTAGTCATCATATTGTATCTTGCGGTCAATATGTATTAACTTGTATTAACCAGGTTCTGTTGCATCATAATTCCCAGCACTGAGTCCTTGAGTTCCCTCTATGTAAAATGGGATAATAATACATTCTCATTCCCAAGAGGTACTGTAAAAACAAAGATGTTTGTGTAGCATGTAGAGATGAGCACTGTAGAAAAGATGAGAAGGAAAAACCGTTCTTTTGAAGAAACATATTTATATTAATCCCCTTTTCTACGCTGTACTTCTGCAGAGTCTTTGCTATTTTGCACCTCAGAAATAAACCTAATTTCTTTTTTGAGTTATTTAACAGCTTCTTTTTTACCCAAGGAACTAGATCCAGGCTTGTTGTACACCTGTTTTACATTATTCTCTTGGTAGTTGGATTTTTTCTTTTGCCAGAGAGAAGCTCTAAAATGTTGTGGGGGGAGGTGGGATTGGAGGCCCAGAAAGGGAACTCGGTCTGCACATGTTTAGGTTTGGGACTGGCAGTGGGTGAAGCATCAGATGAGCCAGGACAAAACTGCAGTGTTATTGTTGTTTTGTTGTTTGCAGTTATTTGGGATTTGGACTGAAGGCTGCCAGACTAGCAACGCTTGGAGCCTTGGAAATAAAAGGTATGTTAAGGTGAAATAGGCAGGTTGGATACTTGAAGAGATACATGGAGTTAATCTTGTAGCTGCTTCCCCTTTCTCATGTCTCCCTTCCACCTTGATCTCTCCCTTTTCTCTATATCTTTGGATTGATGGACCTATCTACAAATATATTTTTCACTATCAGATGACAAGCCCAACTGTAGAATATCCTGCAGGATAGAACATGTTCTAAAGATGAGATTTCCTCTTAATGTAGAATCAGTTTATGCAGCATGTAGTGACTTGGATTTCCTAATTTATAATTCCCATTGGATAAATTATAAGGGACTGGGTTTTTCCCTCTGTGGTTTCATTCCAGCAGGGGATGGACAGATGTTGCGAAGCTCCTGTTTGCCAAAGCAACTAGAAGCAGAATGGCATTTTGGGGGAGTGAAATATCAGTATGGTGGCAACAGAGAAGGTAAGTTGAGGCAACTTGCTTCTGCTAGACAATGATTTGGGTGCCAAGATAAGTCTCAAACCATGGAGATAAGGTTTTTCTTAGTCAACACCCTTTCTGTTGTCATGTTCTTTTGCAAGATGTCTCTCAAGGCTTTAGGGAAATGATCAGGCCAGCTGGGCCTGTAGGAGTTGTCATTTAACAATGCAAAATGCTTTAGATCCCTTCAGCAGGGGAAGCTTTGGAGCTACTTATCCCATTGCAGTGTTATGGGAACTGAGCTCATAAAACTCATGGGTAGAACTGGTTTTACTGAGGTGATGTCATCTCTGTTGTATCATATTCAGTGGGTAAAAGCCTCTTGCAGTTGGAAGACTGTTGGTAGTCCTGTCTCTGACCAGGATATCTAGTAGATGAAACTGCTACCCTCAGGTGATTAAAGCAGGAGAATATGGGAGTGTTGATACTGATGATTGGTACTGGTATATGCTACTATAGAGACCCTGAGGGCAAAGTTTGGGGTTATGTCATTGGAACAGGACCCCTGAAGTGATAATGCATGGGGAAGGAAAGGAAACTTTAAGCCTTCTAATAACAGTGGCTCTGTACAACACAGGGTCCCTGAGGCAAAGTATGACAATGGGAGATTCCCTAATACCATGGAAGCCTCTGCAATATGGTCTCTGAGGGATTCACACATAGCTCTGCATATAAGTGCTGTACTAACAGGACCAGGCACTAAGTTGGGCAGATCCTGACTGTGTCCATGTGCAAGGCTGGAATAGAGTGAAGAGAGTTGCTGGGATGTTGTGGAAGAGAACTTTCTTTTGGGAAGAATGTCTAAACTCTTCACCTCTTTACACTCTGTGCTGCCTCCTCACCTTTTATGGGTTGTGCTTTCCTCCTTAATTTCTCCCTTAGTTTTTTTTGTTCTTGCTGTCCCTTCTCATCCTGTTGTTACTGGTTCCTCCAGACCTGATCTACCTTCATCCCTGTGTGTTTTTGTCCTGGCAGGGAAAACTGGATTTGAGCCTTGCTATGCAGAAGTGGTGAAGGTTGTACAAGGAAAACTACACCAGCCAGATGAGATACGCAGGAGCTCCTTCTATGCCTTCTCATATTACTATGATCGAGCTGCTGACACCAACATGATAGGTAAGTCAGCTCCATGCAGTTTGCCTTGTTCAGTAAATGAAGCTTTCACTATCTTGTACTCTGCTCTGTGCATCTGAATTGTACTTGAACTTCTGCCTATTCTCTGCACAGGATCCATCCCTTGCCTCAGTACTGGGCTAAGCTCTCATTTGAACAGAAATTTCTCAGGTTTGTGATGATGACACTTTCTCATTTCTTTCCTTTCAGATTATGAAAAGGGAGGAGTTCTAGAAGTGAGCGATTTTGAAAGGAAAGCTAAAGAAGGTAAGTAACATTGTGAGACCTGCAAGGTAGAGGAGGGGAGATGATAAAAATATATGTAGTATTTATGTATGGTACATATCATATATTTGATTTAAAAATATATACAAATGAGTTAACTTTAGCGGTCCAACCTGTTCCTCTCCATTGTTTAACAGATTCTTTAATTTTTGTAGTGGAAACAGATATTGAAGAATACGAAGTAGAGGGTTAGTAGCTTCACACATCAGTTTGGGAGTGGGGGTTGTTGTTCATGAAGGTCAGTGGGGAAGAAAGTTGATTTATCCTAAAATCAAGTTTTCCTTCTAGATTCCAGGTCTCTTGAGTCCAGCAGACCAGTGGGTTTTTTTTCTAGTTTACTATTATTTTTTTAACTCCCTAAACCACCTGGATTGTCTTCGCAATTTCTAAAAGTTAGCCTGGCCACCTCCTCTGGTTTTCACTTTCTTATTGGCTTGTGTTAGTTGTTCATGAACCACCACCAGTTGTAGACTTGTTTGATCTTGGTATTTTTCAAAACTAATGGATACCCTATTTTGGTTGTTGTCAGGTTGCTTTTCATACTGTCATCCAGCATTGAATAGGACATTCCTGATAGCTAAAACATCAGCCTAAAGAGTGAAATCCAAGACCTGAATATTGAGAACTCGCTGTTTTTCACCAGGAGAGTCTAAGTTTTATGGGCCTGGGGTGAACTTCTTAAACAAACCCAACCTCAATTTCCCCCCCTCCCCCCCCCCCCCAAAAATCCCATAATTGATGCAAGAGCCCCATTAGTTTAAATATAGGTTCCTGGGTGACCTATATGCTTTAGATATAGAAGTTAAGCTCTTAACTTTCCTAGCAGTTTTTACTTCTGTTTGCCCTAGATGTTTAGATTCTAGTTCTCAAGGCCCGATCTAGCACTCACTCAAGTTAGCATAAAGCTTTCCATTTATTTCATCTGGGAATTGAATCAAGCTATAATTTTATGTGTAAAATAGTTACACTGCTTAAAGCCTGTAGGAATAAGCCCAAGAGTCAAATGGTCTCTGCCCAGAGTTTATCTAAACCAGTGGTTCCCAACCTTTTGAGACTTGAGGCACCCATCACTTTACTCAAGGTTCTCTGCCATAATTTATGTGAATTGAGCAGTGCCCCATTTAAAAAACTAATTTATTACAGTGCTTACCTCTTTGCAGAGAGGCTGGGCAGTGGCCAGGCTTGGATGAGCCTGAGTTTGAGCCTGAATTTATCTTATTGTACTCACAGCACCCTTCAGAAGATCTCATGGTACCCTAGTTGAGATTAGATTGTGTATACAAATATATTATCACCATGAGGATGCATGGTTCGTAGGCTATAGTAATCTGAGATTTCACTTGTCTGAAAATTGTTATCAGAGATAAGTAAAGCTGTGTCTTGGTAGTTTTGTTAATATCTTTATATAGGGAACGTCTGCTCAGCATCTGTTTTTTTGAATGTACAGTTTAAGGATATTCTCCTAATGAACATCCTTCTAAGCCCCTCCTTGTCTCTCTCCCCCTCTAGTGTGTGATAACATGGAGATGTACACATCAGCCAGCCCTTTCCTATGTATGGATCTCACTTACATCACTGCTTTACTCAAAGAAGGCTTTGGATTTAGGGATAACACACTCCTACAGGTGAGAGAACCAATGTAGGAACCCAGCATTGGCATCCCTGTATCTCAGGTGAATAGGGCATATTAGCTTGCTGCTTCATTCCATGTGTGCAGTGTTAGGATGAGTCAGAGGCTGCACTTTACACAGTCACTGCTTTGGCAAGAGATTAATTAACTGCAGCCATTAGTTTCATAGTTTCTAGGGTCGGAAGGGACCTGAGAAGATCATCTAGTCCGACCCCCTGCCATGGCAGGAAAGAGTACTGGGGTCAAACGACCCCAGCAAGGTGTTCATCTAACCTCTTCTTAAAAACCCCCAGGGTAGGAGCCTGCACTACCTCCCTTGGAAGTTGGTTCCAGACCCTAGCCGCCCTGACCGTGAAATAGCGCCTTCTGATGTCTAACCTAAACCTACCCTCTGCTAGCTTGTGACCGTTGTTCCTGGTCACTCCTGGC